CAGGGGGGGGGGGGGGCTGACAGTAAAGACCTTGTATCATCCCTGTGCAAAACATCAAAACATAAACCTCCCCAATCACACCCACAGGATCAGCAGGGTCTCTGCTCCTGGGCAGCAACTAGGACAATGCCATGGGAGGTCATTGGCGCTGCAAGATATATCGCTCTAGAAGCTGCAAAAATGCTGGAAGCCACCCTTTGAACCGCAGACATCCCAATGTTAGGACTTGTATGTTCCCTATCATTCCCAGAAAAGGACTCCAACTTGAAAAGCCCCATCCCGTCAAGCTTCGATCTGTGGATACTCAGCCCAGACCTCGTCAGCGGCCTCATCTTTCTCGCAGTTAGTAAGGACTATGAGGAATATGAGGTTAGAGGCTATTCTAACAAGCTATTCAAGGATTTATTCATGGCAGTCTCTTCCCCCATTCCCTACGTACCCCACCAGCAAGCAATAGTTTGGCAAAGCAATCACATTGGGTTGTACAAGGACAGGGGTTTCGGGCTTCGGGTTTAAGAGAGGCTTTGGGATTTCTGGAAAAAGCCGGGCCCTTAGAGATTAAAGGGATGAACGGGGATTACAAAGGGACCGTGAGGCGCGGTCTTTTATGTTGCTACAGCATATGATCAACAAAAAACACTGCAAACACTCCACACAATACATGATCCTTATCCTCTGCAACCTACAACTCACCTGCTTCCCACATCGCAATTTTCTTGCTGCAAGGATGAAACTCAGCTGAAGCTTACTTTGTTCGAGGCGAAGTTATGTGTTCCACCAAGATTTGTAAGGAAGATTCTGCACGATGGCGGGCAGGCCTGCGCAAAAACTGCACAGAACATGCAGCTGAAAGGTTCATGCATTACAAAGCCACGGCACAAGCATCACAACCTGAAGGCCAAAATTGCCACCTCAAAAATGAGAATTGCAGCAGACGAGGTCAGCTTTTCAAGGCAACCAAAGTTGGCACATTAGCTGCAAAACTCGAGGCTCTCAACCCCCAGACCCTAAGATCTCCCATATCCTCAAACAACAACCACCACAGCCTCCAGCCTTAAAACGCACGTACTCCCTCTACAACCTTACGTAATCTTGTACGACCCCAGAGTCACACTCGCTGCTCCCTGCCTCGGAAGGCGCATCTATGTCGCTCAAGAGCTGCTCACGGTCAAAGACGTCCAAAGCAGCCTCTGGCTGTCCTGCACAGGACAGAAATAATTACTGTAGTACTGTTACTGTAGTACTGCAGCTATCGTAGCTTTGGTGGCCGTAGTAGTTTCGGGCTGAGAGGTGTGATTTGTGGCCAATCGCAATACCTGTACAACGAATCTTATACATGTACTATCCTTTAATTACAGGATTGCGCAACCCTCGACCCCAAATCATTAACACAAACCGGCGCAAGACCTCTGTCGCAGAGGCTATGGAACATGCGCGTGGCGTAGAGCTTCCGTGCCACCGTCCAGACCTGCTGACGGACCCAGCTAGATTGATCGTTGGTAAGTGCATTCCAAGTTTGGAAGTTCTAGACCTCAGACTTTGAGGTAGGGAATGGACACTCAGCTGCAAGAGTAAAAGCGTAAAATCAGTTCAGGTTTGGAATGCCACGTCTTATGAGAAGCGCTTCCAATCGCGCAGTCAGCTCTACACTGGTGCGAGCTGGTTTGAATAATTGAAAAAAAACACCACCCACAGAAGGTAGCAGATGTAACACTAAGAAAAATTGGCACTCCCAAACAAGATGACAGCTTCCGGTAGCGGCCATAACCGTCTTCATCATCATGCTGAATATGAAGAAGCAAACTGCTGGAACATGCTAAGCCTCAATGCAGAAAGCATGAACTCAAGACGCAACACTCCATGCTGGAGGCACAAAATGAACACGAACCTTGCATTTTCATGATTTCTCCTTCTACTATTCATTGCCCTCACGGCAGACGGTGCTGGTGCATACGACTGTTAGCATTCTTGCTACAGTTCCCATTTCCGCCCCATGCTGCTATGTCCCAAACCTTTTGCCTGTTGTGAACATTTTTGGCAGGGATGTTACCCAAACATTGCTGTCTTCCGTTGAGTACCTGAAACTAAAATAGTAGCAACCTGGCAGAAAAGGAAACCAACAAAGGGGTCAAGCAATCAACAACCACTCATACGATCTTCCTGGAAACGTGCGCCAAGTGATGCAGCCAAGGAATGGTTGAGCTGAACCATTTTGATGCATGTGTGTGTGTGCGCTCTCGCCTACCGCCTTCCACGAAATTCTTACGAAACCCTTTCAGTTTTTGCGAGCCCCTACACTGCTCACTGCAGAGCGTGAAGCAACTTCGTCAGAGTTCGACTGTCTACCCTTCAACTTCTCGACAGTCCAGGCTACTGCGGAGGAGAGAGCATAGCGATCCAAATTGCGCTCGTAGATGTCAAAAAAGCGCTGGATATCCTGCACATAATCAGATCTGATGCTGGACAAGCACAGCCTAAATAATAAATGAGAACTACATACAGTAGGACTTGGAAGAAAAACAGGCTAAGCCCCATGACCCCAGCAGACCCTGTATATTCGTTGAACCATGAAACATGAATAGAACGCGAACAGGAAAACACTGGCCCGTGACTCCACCCTCTTTGTCTCCCTACAGGCCTACAGCAGTCGTTCACCCTTGAAAGTGCCAAAGCACCAAAACCTCTAGTAAACCTGACACAGCTTGAACCCCAATGCAGTCAGGAGTTGGTGACGAGACTTTGAGGTTGGGGAGGTTCGATTCATGTCAATTCAAGGAGCTTCCTGGCTTACTGGGTTCATTGAGCGTAGGGCCGAGGGCTTGAAAGCGTCAGGCCAATGTGCAAACTAATTCCTACTTCATCGCTGCTGCTTCTACCCCTGTAAGGAAGTACACCTCATGGCCTGATGGCAGGTAATCCCCCCATGAAGCCCACACAGAATTTTTAGAGACATGGTCGGTTCGTGATGAGTGTTGCGGTGGATAATGCTTGATTGTTAGCCGATTCTTTGCCCACCAAACTATGTCCCTGATTCTTTTGGGGTGAGAGATGCAACACCAATCTTTGAAAGTCTCGGTTTGCCCCTGAACAAGCTTTTCACAAACCTGAAGCCGGACTTCTCATTCTTCCAAAGCTGTATGTTTCAAAGCCGAGATGTACTGGCACGTTCCCAACACGAAGGTCATGGGGAGAAGCCCATCTTACAATGCAATCTTCCCACAGTCCATGTTCAACCTCTGCAGAACTCCTTTATGCCCCATATACCTACGCAACTCCCAGATAAACTTTATAACCAGAGAGGGGTTTGTAGTGAGGGCCCAAGGATATTGGGAAATTAGACGGCATTTCTGCGAATTCCAGTGCAAATTCTAAGGGTGTAATTTTGGAAAACTACTGAATGGGCAATGGCCTATCTAAACTCCTAGTATCCCCCTAAATAACACCAATGATAGTCCCCCATAAAATCCCCCATCTAACTCCCTTCAAGGAGTTTAGACTTAGCCCAAATGGCCTGTGCCAGGCTCATTGCCTCACCCTGTGCGGTGCCGGAGGCGATAGACTCCTGGTTGAGGGCTACGGCGGTGATAAAGGTTTCTATAAACCTTGGGGTTTCGAGTCCTGGCATATAGGGTTCAAGGTGCAGGGCTTGGGGTTCAAGATTCAGGGTTCAAGGCTTTGGGTTTTCGGGCTTGAGCTTTAGGACTATAGGGTCAGGGGATAAGAGGTCAGTAGGCGTGGATTCGATGCCTCATGAAAGAAGGACTCTCACGGAAATCACATCCCACACCGAGGCACCAGAAAACCTGAATCCCCAATCTCGACCCTGACGCGAATGCAGTTCCTCGCGCCATATTGGCAGCCGCAGGCATCGGCACAGCACCTGCTACATGTGGAAGTCGCTCTGACAGCTCTTTACATCCCAAGTCAAGCGGCCGTCTTGCGTCAGGCCTGCAGAACTTCGCTGTAGCACCTGGCCAGCAAAAACAATGTGGAGGAATATCTTCAGCCTATTTCAGCATTGTTTGACCAGAGTGAAAGATACCGGCTCACAGGTTGTGAGGCAGGGAAGGGAGATAGCTCCTGGCAAAACCAAACTTCCCCCAACGCGTCCACCTCTATGCAAGCCACGGTGGGGCTTCTCGAAATCAAAGCCATTGACTGTTTGGGTTGTCTTTGTAATAAGCCCGAAACGGCACCACTTGGGGAACTTTGGCAAACTGTCCCTTAAAACCCTCATCCCTCAGCTGAGGCATCTGAGGCCTTCCCAGATGCAGAAGGCGAATAGCTTCCCGGTACTGGCCCTGGTCGCGAGCCTCACGACATGTCTGGGAACAAAAGCTTGTGGGCTTCTAGCAAAAAGGTTTTAGGGGTTTGGGGCCAGGGCAAAACGATATCTGAAAGGCTTCTTTTGAATTTGCGTATTGTCTTGAAAAGCTCTCATATCACATGCCTGATGTTGAATGCAGCTCAGAGGTTCAATGTGTTAGCAGTCGGGTTACAAGTGACACTAGATAGCTCTTCGATTCTTTGAGGAAGTCTGGTGGCTCTGGGGACCTTGTGAGTCACTGTCTAGACCGAAGCATGCAACGAAGACTTCACAAGCGGCGCCTGCCGGCCCGCGCGGGAGCACAACTCCACGAACTCTGCCTGTCACCGTGCAAGGGCTGTGTAGAGCTTCACTCCGCATGTGTAAGTGTAGTGGTATATACTTATCAAAACCACATTGCTTGCATACAGCGATTTTTAGATCTCCACAAATTGCTAACAGTTGAAACCCCCCGCGTTTGATCCCGACATAATCCCCCGTCATCAGAAAGAAATGGAATAGAAGTGATGAGCCTGGTCGCCCATGCCGTCCTCCTGCAAGGTCATCTCAAGCAAGCCTGGCCTGTCATGTCCCGGGGGGAAGGAATTACGTCGGGATTTGCTGGGATGCATAAGGGCTCCCGGGGCGTATTCTTGGCAAAGACTATCGTTATAACCCCTACTCGTATGGAGACGAAGGAAAAGATTAACTTTAAAAAAAGGTGGAAAAAAGGTTAAAAAAAAAAGAGGTAATCCAAAAAAGGTAAATGTCAAAAAATGTAAATCGTGGAAAATTTAGAAAGGTAAAAAAAAGGCAAAAAAAAAGGTAAACCGGGTAGACAAAGGTAA